CCTTTATTCTTGTGACCTTGCTGTGTGATTCAAGGGAGATATTGTAGGGAGAAATTAGATGCTAATCACTCTTAGGGGTCAGAGGTTGAGGCTGCCTTATTTGGTCACCAAAACAAATGAATGACAGCCATGATGGCTTTCAAATCAGTTCTGAGAGATTAAAGTAGTGCAAAAATTTTCTTCAACATGGCTGCTTGCTACTGGATGGAAAGCAGCCTCTCAAAAAAGATTTTGGATGGACATGCACTGATCAGAAATTGTCATCCCTTGAAAATTATAGACCCTCTGATGCAATAACGCACTTCCCATCATTTTCCTCCTGCACACACAAAAAATATGGGAAGAACATTTCTTTACAATACTGGTCAGGTCATCAGATTATTTTTTAGGGTTGTAGTCTGTTCCTCTAAAGTCAGTTGGGTAAATTTAGCAAGAGATACTTTGATTTTATTACATGACAGTCTCAATTACTCCACACAGCTTTAGTTAAGAGTTTGCTAAAATTAATTTCCTTGCATGTGTTTCTGTTGGATCCTTATTGTTTTAGTGTTTTTTGAGTTGTTTTTCATGCCTTATCTGAGCTCTGATCTCTCTGTTGTGTGTGTGGGGCCATAAGGAAGGACAGGGTCAATGATTGTGATATTGCACCCTAAAAATGTATATGAAAAAAGTATCTGCTTCTGATTGGAGCATAATTGCAAATTACAAATAAAGCGCACACTCTCAACAGTTTGTCTGTCCTGACTTTCTGCAATGCTTTTTTGGTGTAAATATTACTGTTAATAACATAATTTCTTAACATGTAATTTGCTGTAAATAAGGACTTGTAAATTTGTCAGACTACAAATTTTGGTTGTCTTTGAAAAGTGTTCTCATGCTTATTCACACTGAATTGCACTTGAAATCATGTTATTACCTATACCAAAAGAATTCAAGTAGTTTTTGTTATTTTTTTTTATCTCAAGCCTGTGTTTTTTCAGGCTTAAGTCACCTGTCATCTAGTGTTTGACTGTGATTAATCATTAACAATGTTTATTGCCTGACTGTATAATAATAATAAAAAATTTAATACCTGTAACATGCACATATTCATTTACATAAGCTCATATGTGCAAAGTCATTGCTGTTGATAGCTCTGCTTTAGAGAATTAAGCTGGGGTTTCAAAACAAGCAAGCAACTGCCAGAGTTCTTCCAGCTACTTGTTAACAGGTTGCCTGCTACTCTGTTCAAAATAATTACCTCTAATGCCCTTAACCCTTGAACTCCCATGTGTGACCAAGACAGAATTTCTCCTTACAATAT